TTCGAAATAATTACCTCTTCAAGCCTTTTGGCTTTAGCAGCAGCGCGAAGTTCTTGAATCTCTGCTTCGCGACGACGTTTATCTTCAGCTTCTTTCTCTTGTTGCTTTTGTTGCCTTTTAATAGTTTCTGCGGTTTCCCGAGCCAGCCTAAATTGTTCTTCCTCTCGTCTGCGCCTTTCCTTTAAATTTATAAATGATAAGGTAAAATCGCATAAAATAATATAAATATTCATTAAAGTACTTACTTCATCGGCCTTTCGAAGAGGCCCATAATATAACTCACTATAAACTTGCTCCCATGTGATTTTTCGCTCTGTTGGTAGAACCCATGGTTCATAATTGTCGATCATTTCTTGTGGAATTATCCGTTTTTCCTCTTTAGGGGGGGATGGTGGAGGTTCTGTTCTTGGAGAATTTTGAGATAGAGTTTGCGTGGAAGTTGGAGATATATTCTGAGTTTGGGCCTTGGCTTTGCCCTTCGGTTTTGGGTTTGTAACAGTAGTTTTTCTTCGTTTCGCAGGGCGAGTTTTTTTCTTTTTAAAACAAATATACTCAATCAGTTGAAAAACTTCCAATACATATATCATTTTATCTTATAAAATGCTCTAATCGATGAATGAACCGATAATGAATTATATACCTTTGATATTTCTTTTTATCGTGTAATATACCGATTTGGCGAGTCCAAAATGATCATTTTTTTGCAAAGTTGGTGGATTTGGAAAAATACATACAACAAACAAGAAAATTAGAGGGAAAAAGATGAGATATTCGTTCATTGGAAATGCAACTATAAAATTTCCAAACTACAAGTAACTAATAAATTTTTATTAGGTATGTAATTTTGTTAAGGGCAAGACTAGACCACATTGAACAAAAAAAAAAAAAAGGAAAAAAAAATATCGTATTGGACGGAAGCTTTCAAATATCTATGCGCCCCTTTCAATGCTGCGCTATATGGCGGCATAATATTTGTCACAACAAACTTGAAGAATAAATGCGCTAATATATTGAAATAGGATTCTCTGTATTGTGTGCCTCACTTTCCTTCCTTCCCCAGACAATTACGCAGCAATGAAAGAGTGAGGGGCAAAAGAAAGAAAAAAAAGCGAAATAGGAAACGGATTGAATAAGGACTTTCACTGATCTAAACAGTCTCGCTACCTGAATCTTCCGATTCTGAACCAGATGAATCAGAACTCTGACTGTCTGAAGAATCGTCGTCCGAACTGTAATGACTTCCATATTTAGCTATGAAATAAGACATATTCATAAGTGATGTGATGAATGAAAATATGATCAAATAAATTTATGTAGTAAATTAAAATATACCTTGGGGAGACGGTGTTGGAGATTTGTGATCAAATTTAGCCAAGGTTCTTTCTAAGGCTAGAATTTTTTGTTCTTGCTCTTTTTCATTGGCATTTGTACGAGGTTTTTTAGAAGGTGGCCCTCTTTTTTTCGAATTAGCTTTTTTTGATGTATGCCTCAATACAAAATCATACATCTTTTTGGCAGTATTATAATCAAGTGCTTCAATTTCTATTTCATAACCGCCACTTCCTCTCTAAAGATAAACCATCTTTAATATGACAGAATAAAGTTTGCGGATAAACAACGACGATCTTGAAGAATCAAATAAGAATACCTCCATAGGCGCACCACTCTCTTCGATTAAACGAATGAGTTCGTTCATTTTTTCTGTAGAGAGAAGTTCGATCCTTTCACTAAGATCTGTTTTTTGTTCTGATGTCAGCCCTTCTTGCTCTTCACGTTTATTAGTAGTTCGAGGACGCTTTAATGATTTCTTTCCATCTTCGACCAACTTATTACTATCTGGAGTACTTTTAGTTGTACTAGGCTTTGCACTCTTTGCTGCCTTTTTAGCCTTTGATTTTGTGGATGGTTTTCGCATCTGAGAAATTTGGCTTGATAAAGCAGCCAAATGTTTCTGCAAAGCCTTCAAATGATCACCTATATGTATATATGAGAATATGCTTGAGTTTTTGTTTTGGCATTAAAAATCAAATAATTAATAATGGAAAAACTTACTTTCATCCGCTTCAGATTCGCTCTCAGATTCTCTTGATTCTTGACGAGCCTGAACCTTAGGTCTCTCTGCCCACTTTTTGTCAAAAACTTTTTCT